CACGCACACACGCACACACGCACACACGCACACACGCACACACGCACACACGCACACACGCACACACGCACACACTCACAAGCAAAGCAGAGACATTCATTTGTTCTGTCTCCTGACGCCGGACCCTCGCAGAAGCAGGTGAAGCTCGTGGGCAGCCTGCTGTCAACGCGCTGCAAGGCCTACGAGCTGATATTTGACCAGCTCGTGAGGAACGTTGGGTCAGAGGGTCCCGGCGGTGGCGGCGCGTCAGCTGCCCCCATCCTCATCTTCAACAGCAACACCAACACTGTCGAGGCCAGCCCCGTGACAAACAACATCAACACCGCCGCCGCGTCCAGCAAGGCCAAGGCGAAGATTCAGGGGCTCGGGGTCGCGACGATCGCGGCGGCGGCGCTTGGCACGGCGCTGCTCGCGCGTGTCATCCTCAGCGGCGGCGGTGGCGGCGATGGCGGCTGCAGGTCGGGCTCATCGTCGCCCCCCTCGTCCCCGCGCCCCGCGCGGCTGCCACGTGGCAAGAACGGCCGCGAGAAGGCTCTGGTGTCCGTCATGTCCGAGTGCGAGGACGAGGCGGCGCTGGCATCGCTGCTCAAGAAGGTGGGCCGGCTCGCATGCAACAGCCAGCATGCTTTGTTGCTGGTGTTGCAGAATCGGCGGATGGGCGGGTGTGTAATGGTTGACAGAAGGTGCAGACGCGGCTGGTGATGCTCACTGTCGCCGTGCTTGTCAGGCAAACAGCACGCACGCATGTCAGTGTAAACCAATTGTTCTTGAGTCGCCCTGCATTGCCTTGAGTTCCGCTCACCTCATCTCCTCTTTACCCGCAGCTGGCGCGCGAACGGGATGTGCTGGTGGCAGTATGCGACAGGGACATGACTCACCCATCAGACTACCTCACCACCTGGGTCCGCCAGGTGCGCTGTCAGTCGGGCCATCATAGGTGTTGCCGGTAGCACAATCACTTGTAAAGTGATGAAATCACACGAGGTTTGTGCTGCCGTGCCATGTCCAATGGGGCTGAGAACCTGCTTTGCCGCCCCAGACACCGATGATGACTGCACGACGCCTGCTGCGCCCTGGTCTTCTTCCCTTTCACCGACAGGTGCAGCACCTCGGCCTGTCCAACACGCTGGTGCTGTCCAGGGACAGCACTGTGGTGGGCAAGGTCAAGGCGCTGGGCATGAAGGCGCTGCTCATCAAAACCAAGGTCGGGCGGCTGGGCCGTGCTGCGGCGGATATATAGCTGCATGGTATGACAGAAGGGTGGTGCAACGGCGCGGGCAGAGGCATGGGAGTCTACTTGCATGAGTCCTATTCAGAAAGGGCGGCAGCGATGCCAACTTTGGCCGAAGATAGGGTATAAGTGTTACAGTACAGCATCCTGCAGTCGCCCGCTTTTAGAGCCGTTCAGGTTCATGGGATTCAAAAATGTGTACATGAAAGACAGCTCCCTTTAGCAGCAGTGCAACCTCCATGCAAGGCAGCCAAGCATGCAGCAAAGAGAACAAACCTAATCATCATAGTGTGCCACGTGTTGCCTGTGAGGTCTGGGCGCGTTGTCGACCGGCACGCCGGCTTGGTCAGGCGGCCGCATTCCGCGCCCTGTGCCCTTCTGTCCCCTTTCAGCTTGGCGGCTCTCTGTTTTCGGCGCTCACAAACCATTTATAACTCCTGTCAGGCTGGGCGTCAGCGCGCCGTGGGCCGGCGTGCCTGCACTTCACGGGCGGGCGCAGGGGCCCTGCGGTCTGATTGCTGTCTAGCCAGGGGGAGGGTTCGCCCGGGCCCGCAGCATGCCGCCCCAAAACCTGCGCCCCTGAGCCCACGCACATTTGTTCCTGTCAAATTGCATCTTGTGGCTGCTGCCCCCACCCCCTGGCAGGTGGTCCCCGAGGCCCCGCGCGCGACGCGCCGCGCGGCGTTCAAGTGGGCGGCCCTGGGTCTGGTGCTGGACCTGGGCTACTCTGTTCTGTACAGTGATCTGGACGTGGCGTTTCTGAGAGACCCCTTCCCGCTGCTCAAGAGAGACTCGGACCTGGAGGCCATGAGCGGCGCGGCGAACAGAGTCACCGACTACGGTGAGCCGCGCTGCGCTGCCGCCGCCGGGCATGCAGCCATTGGGGTGCACGCGGTGCACCATGGCGGTCCACGGGCGACCGCCTTTATTACACACAGCAATCTTTGCAGTTGGGCAGCGGCGATCTTCACCACAGGCCCATGGACAGGAGGGGCGGCACGCACCTCACCATTACGCGGTCCCCGTGCGCCCCCCCCCCCATCGCAGGCCTCGCACGCAGCGAGGCGCCGGCCTCGGCGCCGCGGCACCACGTCATCCCTGGGCTGTCCCCCGGCCTGCTGTACCTGCGCCCCTCCCAGGCGGCAAAACACCTGGTGGCATCCATGGTGCGCGGCCTCCAGGCGGGCGCCGACACAGAGGTCAACCTGCTGGACGGCGCAGCGCTTGCGCCAGCGCAGGGCGATTACGTGCGCTCCATCCGGCTACGCGTGCTGCCTGTGGATCGCTTCATGACGGCGGCGGCGCTGTTTGGGGCCAGGCGGGGGCCGGCTGCGGTCCTGGGGGAGGAAGAGGTGACGGCGGTGCACTTTGGGTTCGAGGAGGGTGAACGGCTGCGGGGCATGCGTGCCGTCATAGACTATGCGCACGGCCGCACAACGGGTCTCAAGGAAATGACGCCACGGGCTGACGGCACGGCCAGTGGGGCCGAGCGGCAGCAGAAGATTTGATTTGATTGCAGGGGGCCCGGCGCAAGAGCTGCCCGTGTGTTGTCGCACGGTGAGCTGTGGGTGTTCGGTGGCTTGCAGAGTGCGCCTGAGCTAAAGAGCTGGCGCTTGTGCCCGGAGAACCATTGTTACCACCTGCAGGTCTTGCTGCAGGCCACCCACCTGCCAGAATCCAGGTGGAGCTTGAAAGTCCTGTGACAGACGGTGTGGCTTATGCAATGCTGTTTGTTTCTAATAGCTGTCGGCGGTGTCAGCGTAGCCGGCCGTGAAGGTTTGGCAGGCATCAATGATGCAGGCCTTGTTGAGCGGCCTCGGTGGGCGTGCACACGCTTGTTCTGCGCATGGCCTGGGTGTGCTTGTACTGTCAAATCGCGACCCTAGTCATCGCCAATGACCAAGCCATCTTTGATGGCCCTTAGCCACCCACTGACCTGAGGGTACAAAAATTTGTAATGCTGATCAAGTGCAGCCCACCAGTCGTGACGGTAGCTTTGGGGGCGTGCATGCGTGTACGACCGCACCCCAGGCATGCAGCGGAGGTGCACACCAGGGAATGGTTCAGAGTGTCAGTGGGTCGCCGTGTCACCCCCGTCCTAAGGTTTCTGGCATGCCCGGTCACAGCAACTTGGCAGCAGCTTGACGGCTCGGCTTCGCATCGCAAAAGAGCAGCAACTAAGCCGGTCAGTTGAGACTGCTTCACTCTGGGTTTTGGGTTGATTGATTGTGATGCGCTGACTCGGGCCCAGCGGCCAGGCCAGGCCGCCTTTGTTTCAGGCAGTGGACCAGTGGGAGGCGCAGCAGCCCGCCCACGCAGCCCTAGCCAGAGAGGGCTGCGCAGGCGGTTGGTGGCTGAGGCACGGCAGGCGGGCTGCCAGCATGTTGCTGGGTGCTGCGGTTGAGCTGGTCCAAATCTTGTGCAATCGGGCTTGGGCAGCGAGGCGCATGGTGCAGCTGCCCGCTCCCATGCAATCGTCATGCAGGCCTATGAGCTGTGCCTCATGCAATCGTGCGGCGCGATTGCTGGAACCGGTCAGTTCGATGCGCTTATCAGCGCATGCACTGAAGGGGGTGTGAGCGGCGGCGTCAGCGCGCATGTGGTGCGGCAGGTTGCACTGGTGGGCCGCTTGGCGCTTGTCAGGGTGCGTGCTGATGCCACCATACTTCCGGGCTGAGCCTTAGGTCCGACGGGCATGCATTGGGTGATGTACCACCATTCAGCACCTCCGGCCCTCCTCCTTCCAGGCTACTGTGTGTGTCATGCTCAGCCGCGCCACCATGTGTGATAACCCGCACACATGGCATTTGGTCAGCTAATGCCCGCCAACTTCACTCCTGTGCAGGAGGCCGCTATTGCCGCCGACAGGGCCACCGTGCAGGCCTCACGCGCCCGGTGTGTGTGCACCGCATTCCGATGCGTGCTCGCCCAGCGCGAAGTTCACAGGACTGCGCTGCCAGCAGCCCCCTGCGGCGCCTGCCTGGCAGCACGTCTGCGCAGGTGTCCCTGTACTGCTGCTGCTGCAGCGTGGCTGGTGGTGTTGTGCCAGCTCACGGGCGCGGTGGTCCAGCGAACATTCGACGCTGTGCGCCCAGTTGGGTCACTCTAGCGCCAGGCCATGCTGCGCGTGCTGTGCCGGGATGTGGTATGCGTTGGACTCGGTTGATCAAGCAACGACTGAACTGGCAACCAGGGTTAGCTGACTTTAAGATTGCAAGGGGGACTGGGCGCCTCCGCCCGTACCATTCGCAAGCGGCGCTCTGCCACAGGCGTTATGATATGTAATACAGCGGGGTGGCGATGACGCACAGGCTGCCAGGGACGTCGGTTGCTGTGGGCTGCGAGCATGTCGCAGGCGCCGGGTCCCGGCGCGAACAGGGGCCTCAGGTGGCGTTGCGCCAGGAGGCAGCCGCGCACTTGAACAGCAGCGCAAGCGGGCATGTGGCGCGCCCATGCGCCATGCTGCCGGATTACATGCAATGTGTCTTATTAATGCTGACCAATGTGCTATGCCGTGATGGGTCCCACTCTGCTGCACGGTGCTTGGGAAATCGATCTCAATTTATCATACCGTACTCTGCACAGTCTGCTGGTTGCAAAACATGCAGGCGCGCCTTTTATACAATCAAATGAAGTCAGTTTGATAACATATCACCTGGTATACCCGCTCCGGGCATCCATGCGCGCGCCAAGGCACCCCCAGCCTGAACTCAAACTCACACGCACGCACCCGTTCATGCCGCTGCCTTGGCGCCGCTAGCGCATCCCAGGATCACCGGACCTGGTAATCACATCGTGATGTTCCTTTTCGGTGGCGGCAAGGTGCGGTGGGAGCCCGCGGGCGTGCCTCGGGCCCGTCCCATCGCCCTTTACCAGCCTCCTGTGGACTGTATGCCGCCCCGTTGCACAGCAATTGTATCATTTATGTCGTTGGACACTATCCTGGCGCCGCTTATCACCGCGCTGCCGCCTCGCGCCCCCGCTGCACCCGCATGCAGTCCCCGCGCCGCCCGGGCGAGCGAGTGGCGCCCGCCACGCCTGCGCGGATCCTGACGTCCTACGCGCGCACTAGCGAGGAGCTGCAGCTGTTCTTGGAGGACCTTGCCGCCTGCTCCCCCGCGAAGCACCTGGATTGGGAGGAGGCCCTCGAGGCGGTGGGTACGGCCGCGCGGGCAGTTGGGGGATGTGGATGCGTCAGGCGCTGCGCTGCATGCACCGTGCCGCCCCTGCTGCACCGCCTGGAATGCATGCGGTCCCTGCATGTGCTCAACTGCATGTGCCCAACTGCATGCGGTCGCTGCATGCGCCGCATGAACGCGCCGTGGCACGCGGTGCATGCATGTCACCCATGCTTCCTCGCACAATTCTGCATGCATGTCGCTCCTTGGCGACTCCCACAGTTCGCCCAATTGGCAAACACACAAGCAATTCAAATTACTTGCACACAAACAACAACAGTTCCCAGATGGTGTCATCCCCTCAGCCTGGTTTGAGCTCGGCGGCCGCCGCTGGCAGCTGACCGCGCGCACAGGCGCGGACGGGCGGCGCGTGCTGCACCTGGCCACCCCGCTGGCGGCGTCACCAGAGGCAGCGCGCCGAGAGCTTGCACTGCAAACACAGCAGCAGCAGCCCTCGCAGCAGCAGCAGCAGCAGCAGCAGCAGCAGCAGCAGCAGCAGGCGTCGCAACAGCGCAGGCGCGGGAGCGGGCGGCCGTCCAAGCAGCCGCTGCTGCTCGGGTCCGCCGCTGACGAGCCGCGCTCGCGCGCGCTGATGCTGCCCGGCAGCGGGGCCGGGCCCACCCCGAAAAGCGGCAGCGGCCTGCGCTTCAGCGCTGACGGCCTCAACGGCCAGCTCGCCGCGGCCGGCTGCCGCACCCCCAGCAGCGGCAGCGGCAGCCCCTGCGCGGACGACTACACCCTGGCCGCCGCGGCCAACGGCGCTTCCTGGAGCGGCAGCGACGGCAGCGACGGCGGCGCCAACGGCAGCGGCGGCGGCGGTGGCGGCGGCGCGCACGGCAGCGCGGGCGCCAAGGCGCGCCGCAAGTACGTGCGCGACATCGTGGTGGCGACCAACCCCGCCCACGACAGCCTGGGGCGCTACAAGGCGCTCATCGCGCTCATAGAGCACTGCAAGGCGCGCGCCGCCGCGCTGCGCCCGGGGCAGGTCGCGGACTGGGGCCGCGAACCCGCGCACTCGCTGCTGCACGCGATCGTGGACGTGGGCGAGGCGCTGGCCGGCTTTGGCAACGCGCACTTCCCCGAGCGCAGCGGGGAGGCGCGCGCGGTGCTGGCGGCCGACTACAAGGCGCTGCTGTCAGAGTACCTGCGCCACCTGGGCGGCGTGCTTGCGCCGGGCGCGTGCCGCGGGGTGGCGCCGGAGACTGAGGTGGGCTGCTTGCTGGGCGAGCCTCGCGGGGCGCCGGCTGTTGTGTTGCGACCGTGTCAGCCTGCCGGATGGCGGGGGCGCTGCCCTTAGGCTTGAAGTTCGTGATTTGTCGCTCCCCCCCGGCGTCAGCATCCAGACTTGATGGCTGGCTGTTTGCATAGTTGGGAAACAATTGATTACTCACCACCACACATCTTGCTGGCCAACACATCGACACCCCCCTCACTCACACACATGCTCGTGCACGCACGCACGTAGACACACACACACACACACACACACACACACACACACGCACGCACGCACGCACGCACGCACGCACGCATGTTCATGCTCAGGTGCACGCAAGCACGCACACACACTCACACAAACACTGAGACAGTCTTGTGTTGCCCTCTAATACCTGCCCACCCAGGCTGAGCTGCGGTCGGTGGGCAGTCTGCTGTCGACGCGCTGTGAAGCCTACAAGGTCCTCTACGACCAGATTGTCAGGCACGTCGGGTCGGAGGGCCGCGGCGGCGGCGGCGGCGGCGGCTTTGGCGCGTCTGCCCCCTGCCTCATCTTCAACACCAACTCAAACACCGTCGACGCCAGCCCCGTCACGACCAACACCAACACCGCAACCGCGGCCAGCAAGGCCAAGGCGCTGAACCAGGGGATCGGCGCCGCGGCAATCGCGGCGGCGGCGCTTGGCGCGGTGCTGCTCGCGCGCGCCGTTTTCCGCGGCGGCGGCGGCGGCGGCGGCAGTAGGTCGGGCTCGTCGCCCTCGCCCGCCTCGTCCCCTCGCCTCACGCGGCTGCCCCGCGGCAAGAACGGCCGCGAGATGGCCCTGGTGTCGGTCCTGTCCGCCTGCGGGGACGAGCTGCGCAAGGCGGGCCGCAACGAGGCGCTGCTGCAGGACGACTGGCGGCTGGGGCGGGTGCGGCTGGCGTGGCCGCCGGCGCCCGCGCCGCAGGGGTACGCGCCGCTGACGGCCGAGGTGTGCGACGTGACGGGCGCGCTGCAGGAGCTCTACGGGCGCTAGGCAGCTGCCCACTTGCAGCAGTTTCCAGGCAGCCGGCTCGTATCGGCTGAATGGCGTGGGCGGCGGCAGAGATGGCACGCCCTTGGCTCGAGGCGCCCAGTAGTGGCCGTTGCGGACGGCGGGCACGCAGGTGTTTGCAGATTTATATAATTGTTTGTCCAACTTGCAGGTGTGATTGGGAGAAGGCAGACGGCAGAGCTTGCATGCAGTGCGCACGCGCGCGAAACATCCCGGCTTCGAAGGCGCGATTGGCGAACGCCGCCCCTTCAGCGGCAGCATCCGCGTCTTGGGGCCAGGCCAGCTCTTTGCAGGCCGATACCCGGCCCTGCTTTCTGCGGCCTGCCCGCTCGCACGCGGTTCGCAACTGTGCGCGCCCGTTGGCGCGTGCATTGCCCCTTGCTTGATTGCGGTCGTTTGACCATTTGCCGGGCGGCACCAGGCCTCTTGTCATCCCCCACCCCCTCGCTCCCCCGCACTGCGCCACGCACATAAAGCAGCCGCCGGGATTCCTCCGGACTCGCTGCCCCCCACTGCAAGAAAAACGGCAAACCGTGTTCCGCCCTTTTCTCACCCCATTTTGCGTTATGCCTGTCTTGCCATCCCTCGCTCCTCCCCCCTGTTCGCCCACTCTGGTGACCCCAGAATACGCGCGGCGGCAGCACCCGCCCAACATATTGGCAGCAGCCCAATATATACACATTCTTAGCGGCCGTTCATCCCTATGTACCACGCCCAGCCCCTGAATTCAAGGGAGCAGCGGCAAGCGCGCGCGCAGCGGCTTGCGAACGCACGCATCGAGGGCCGGCCGCCGACGCCCAAATTTTGTTTAGACGGCGAGTCTTCCCAGTATCGTTGGCGCCCAGCGCGCGCAGCAGGCACCGGCCTTGATAATGCAGCACCAGGGGTGCCCGGGTCGGGCGAGGGCGGGCCGCAGCGGGCGGGGGCAGGCGCCCTTGCGCGCCCAGCCCCCTGTTCTCATTGCAACCACAGCAATGCACAGCATCGACACTGCAGGGACCGCGTCGGCATGCCCGCGGGTTTGTCCGCCCTGTCCGCTCTCAATTGTTTGGCGGCCATGGGTCAATTGATCAAGGAATGTGTTACTCAAGGAATGTGTTACTCATGACACCCTGTGGTGGGCACTGCCGGCGGCGCCGGCTGCAGGGGCGGTGCAGGGGTGCAGGGGCAGTGCAGGGGTGCAGGGGTAGCAGCGGCGCACGGCCAACACGGCCAACACGGCGAACATCAGTGTTGAGCCGGGGCTGCGCCCCACCATTCTGCCGAGGCTGCGGGGTGGCAGCCCTGCTGACGAGCCGCACGCAGCGCTTCCGCATCACACGCCGCGTCCAGCACATTGATTAGTGACGGGGCGTCATCATTATGCGCGTTGTGAAAATTAAATTCGGCGCAGCGAAATCCAAAGCCGGGGGCAGGGCAGGGCCGCTGTTGCAGCTGATCTCCTGCCCAGTGGCGAGGGGGGCCCGCGCAGGTCACAGCGGCGCGGCAGGCGGCGCGCGCGGCGGGGCCGCCGGCCACGCGCGCCGGGCACCGCCCTCCGGGCCCTACTGCACGTGGCCGAGGAAGGGCTCGACCGCGTGCGTCTCGGACACGGCGGCCAGGAACTCTGCGCGCGCCGCCTCTGAGCCGAAGAGGTACAGCGCGTACCCCCCCCACCCGCCCCCGCAGTACTTGCGCGCCAGCGCGCCGTGGCCCGGCAGCGGCTCCATGCCCTCCCCAAGCTGCACGCCGTATGACGCGTCGACCGCGGCCGCCATGGCCTCAAGCGCGGCGCTGGGCTCCTGCCCCGGCAGCGCCGCAGCGCGCGCGAGCGCGCCGGCGCGCTCCACCTGATCGTAGTCGCGCGTCACGTCCGTCTTCTCCGCCGTCACGTGCGGCGCGCCCGTCCACATCAGCGCCATGCGGCCGGCCAGGAAGCCGCCCCCGGTCTTGAACTCGAGCTCGGGGCGCGGGCCGCTGCGCCAGACGCACAGGCCGGTCTCCCGCAGCACGGCAGGGTCCTGCCAGCCGACCCCCGCGGCCAGCTCAGCCTCCAGCGCGTCCCGCCCCTCCAGCAGCGCGTGCGCCGCGCTGCCGCCGAGCCCGCCGCCGATGCGGTACGGCCAGCGCGCGAGCGACACCAGCGGCGAGACGGCGCAGTTGACGACGAACGCGCCGGGGCGGGCGTGCTTCGGCACGTCGAGCCAGCCACCCCCAAAGTCCACGCGCAGCGGGCAGAGCGAGGGCGTCCTGATGTTCTGCAGGATCGATGTCGTGCTGACAGGGGCGTAACCCAGCGTCTTGGGCAGCACGTAGTACTCGGCGCCCACCTGACTGCACAGTTCCCGCTTGACCGCGCCGTACTTGTCATCTTCTGTCGCCACCAGCAGCTGCGGGCGCACCCGCAGGAAGTGGCTCTTGAAGTCGAGCCCCCGCTCCTCGTCCTCGCCCACCACGACGGCGTCCACCATCCTGAGGGACGAGAGGAGGGCCACTTTGTGGGCCGTGGGCATGCTGCTGCGGCGGCCGGCCTTGTGGTGAGCCAAGACGGCCTCGGACGCGACAGACACTGTCAGGTGGTCGCCCAGGGCCTGATGGGCAGGAGGGTGGGGGGGAAGGGGACGAGGAGGAAGAGGGTTGTGGCCGCAGTGCGGCTTCATGAATGTTCATACAGTGATGAGGGGCAGAGGGCAGGCGGGGCGAGGGGTGTGCAGGCGTCAACGGGACAGGCGGCCACGCTACGTTGGTCTTCTCAAGGCGGGGGCCGAGGATTCACAAACGCCAACCAGGGGCCAGGGGGATGTTCAGAGAGGTGCGCGCGGTGCGCAGCGATGCGTGTGGCGGGTGGCAGCTCGCGAGCCCGCGGGCCTTGCGGGCAGTTCCAGGGGGTGACACCACCTGCGCGGCTTACAGGCGGCGACGCCGGGCGCCTGCTGTGGTGGGGTGTGCCCGCCCCCCGGCCCACCTTGGCCTGGGTGAAAAACTCCACGTGGCCGCCATGGATGATGTCATAGCACCCGCTGACAAACACCTGGGTGTATGTTGTAAAGGGGAGGGCCGCGTCAGGGCAATGGCGAGGCAAGGGAGGATAGAGCTGTCCCACCTCGCGGGGGGGACGGCTGTCCCAAGGCATGCGGTACACCCGGCCGCCCTGACCGCGTTTGAGGTGTTTTCTTTTGGAGTCAAGCATACATGTACAAAGGCCGCGTTGAGAGGGACAGGCAGGGAAGGCGAGGCGGCCGCGCAAGCGAATAGGCTGCAAGGGCGGGCCCGAGGGCGAGGGAGGGAGGGGGGGCAGCTGCGCGCGCTGACCTTGCGGCGCGGCGCGTGCGAGGCGGCCGCCTCGTCGGCTGCGGCGCCGCCTGCGCGCGCGTCTGCCGCGGGCGGCTCCGCGGCCGCCGCCTGGGCGGGCGCCGCCGCCGACATTGCTCAACCAAGCAGTGGGCTCTGCCTGTCCAGACGGCGCTGCCGCTGCCCCTTCTGTTTGTTTCAGAAGCGTGCAGCAGGCCTGCCTTTCCTGTTGTCACTGCCGCCTACCTGGCTGGGTACCTGAGGGGACGCGGTAGAGGGTGGTGGTGGTGCTGGTCCTTGGGATGTGCATGTGTGCGCACGTGTGGGGGACAGGGAGGGCCAAAGCAGCTGCAGTGCAAGCGATAGCATGCCTGGAGCCATCCTTGGCAAACGAGAGACGCACACTGTGTGCTGATACTGGTGGCAAGATGTGTTTGGTACTTCACCTCTGTTTCGATGGCTCAGAGCTGGGTCAGGATGTGCGAGGGGGCGGTTGCGCACTGAGCTCCAGCAGCACACAGGTCCAGAGTGTGCTGGGAACCTGCTTTTTTGAACGATGCTAGCCAGCAGCCGCTATGAAGCGCATGGAAAGCTGAGATTAGGATCAATGTTTGGAAATAAAGGCGTCTTGAAAATGAGCAGAATCTGCAACAAGCGTGATCTATGTGTACCGGAGGTCTACATGTACCATAGGCACCGCGCATTGCTTTCTGGGAGGTCGTGGCTTTCGCACGGCTCAGCCCTGGGCGCCGCCGCTGGACCCCTGGTGAGACCGCTCACCCGGATTCGTCATCAGTGTGCTGCCCCAAGCCTGATTGCTGCCCCGTCACTTCACCCGCACACCCGGCCCCCACCCGCGTCACGCTCTGTTTTGCATTCCGTGCAATACGCGCAACCCGGTTTGAACCCCCGCCCCTCCCGTCGGCGACCATGCTCCTGCCAGTCAAAGTATCTGTATGGGCAGGCTGAAACCCCCGGGAGAGCCTTCAAGCGTGGCTCAATCACAAGGCCTGGATGGACGTGGCGACGCGCTCCCAACATCACGCAAACCCACAAAAAGCTAGCTGGTATATACATACCCACCCAACAAACCTGGCTCCCCATCAATACGTGGCAAAAGGACAGTCAGGGCAAACAAACTACAGTATGTATACAATCCAACATGTGGCGCAACTTTCAGCGTGCACGTAATGCGTCAATGCGCTTATTTCACCGCAAAAGCTGCGTTGCCCCCTTCTCCTACTGTACAACTGCTGTTTGCGCCGCCGCCGCATCTCGCTGGGCATCCCTTCGCTTGGTCACTCGCTGCGCCCCCGCCCAGCTCGATTCGCCGGCCCCTGGGCCTCGAGGAGGCTCTCCCTCCCCGTGGCTATGTTGAAAGCCATCAGATAGTCGGACAGCAGAGACGTGAATGGGTACCTATGGGCGATGCGGAGGGTGAGGGGTGAACAGGGGCCGAGATGCGCTTCAGAGGCGGCGTGAAGGATGGCGACAGCATGAGCCAGTGAAGGGCGGGTGTGTGTCCCGAAGGAGGGCACGCCACAGCAGCGAGAGCAGCGCGGGGGCCGGACAGTCAACCAAGCTGAGCTTGCCCAGAGGGCCGGGTTCAGCCCAGCGGGCCTCGCCTGTGCCGCATGTGGCAGGGGTGCATTGCTGAACTCAAAGCAGAGACCTCCTCAGTCTGCAGCCGCCTGCCGCCCCCACCTGAACGTCGCGGGGCGGTTGTGTTCGATGAAAAAGTGGCCGGCCCAGGCGCAGCCGTAACCGGTGAGAAGTCCGCTCAGTAACAGCTCGGGGCGGCGTAGCACCAGCGCTGCGCGTCAGGTGGGAAGGGACAGTTGTGTGGGTCCGGAACGCTTGCCCTTGCGCGAAGCGCCCAATTGAGAGGGGCTAGCGTCGCCCTCGCGGCGGCAGCGGGTGACTTACGGGTGCCCGGGTGGAGGGCGCAGGTTGGCAGCCACGCGCAATGCGGGCGTCCACCCGACCCAGCCTGCGTGAGCCTTCACCTGCCAGCCACTGTGAGCTGCCGAGGATGGTCCCCACAAAATGCAGCACCCTTGTGCCGGAGCGCTTGTGTTCTGGTGTGGCGCGCGCCAGCATTGGGTTGAGCCAGAGTGTACAGAGGATGAGCGCCAGCATCATCGTATAAATGGGATTCTCAGGCCTTACCCCCGGCATGGACGGGGGGGCTGCTGGCATAAGCAGCAGCAGCTGGGCTTTATGCAGCGTCAAGCAGGTGTTCGCCAAGCCCCCATCACCGTGCTTGTAGAGCTGGTGGTAGAAGCTGCGAAGTCATAAAGAGAGGAGAGAATACCAGCAGCATATACAATATGGAGACGGGGTGCGCACGCGACACGCACTGCAGGAAGAGCAAGCGTCGCGGACGCACGCGAGCGACGCAATTGCAACAGCATGCGTGCATCAAGAGCATCATGGAGCGGCTGCGGCGAGCTCACTCGCTGAGGGTCTTGTAGCGGGCTGCCATCGCGCTGTCCTCAAACGCCTGGTAACGTGGGTCGATTTCTTACGCAACCGTCTTTGGAGCTTGCGGGATGCGAGATCAACCACGCAAGCGTACGTACGTGGAAGGTGGTTAGCGGCACGGGTCGTGAGCACGTACAAAGACGGGGATCATCCAAAGTTATATGGAAGCCAGCACATCCACCTGCAACCTGGCATCACGTTTTTTGCGTGCCGGCCTCCTCAAGACCGACTGCAGCTACTGTACCCGTGGTCGAAAGCACCAACAGGCGCTTGCAACAGCGATGACAGTGAACTCATGGGAGCTGTCAGTCAGCTAGCACAGGCTGACAGATGCGTGACCATGCTGGCAACAATGGTCAAACTGTTTGACCATGCAGGTTGTTTATAATAGACATGAATGTTGCTGCTGCCACTGTTGGGAGATACTTGACAGAATCGCAACACAACAAAAATTATGTGTTACTTTTACATGCTAGCATTCTTCCACGTGTTCGGTGCTGGATGACAACAAGTAGGCAGTCCGCCACGCGCACGCACAGTCCACAATGTGGACGACCACGCTGCTTCATTGGACAGCAGCCCACAAATATGTACACATCATGACCACGCACGTGCAGAGCCAATCATGTTGATTGACGCCATTTCGATAAACCTGAACACATGGCTGAGTACCACTGCTGCCGCCTAGCGGGGCAGCAGCATGGAGCGAGGTGAATCTGGCTCTTTCGGCAGGGCTCCACTCCCTTAAAAGACAGTGCGATGCACGTATTACAGTAGCTGCATCTACAGCAGCAGCATCAGCAGCAGCAGCAGCAGCAGCAGCAGCAGCAGCAGCAGCAGCAGCAGCAGCAGCAGCAGCAGCAGCAGCAGCAGCAGCAGCAGCATCAGCAGCAGCATCAGCAGCAGCATCAGCAGCAGCATCAGCAGCAGCATCAGCAGCAGCAGCCGAGCAATGAAGCCATGCTGCAGCAGCCGAGGAGCCTCACAAATGAGATGGCATAAGCCCAAAACTTGCTGGTGCGGTATGGTTTGTGGATCGAAGGGTTGTTGCCGTACTAAACGGCCAGTCCCCCTACTGAGGTCAGGTGAAGCAGGAGCGGGCCTTGCGCACACAGCAACCTCCTGCGCAACGGGCTCTGATTTGGATCTGTTTTTCAGGTCAAATACACGCGCGCACACATGCACATGCACATGCACATGCACATGCACATGCACATGCACATGCACATGCACATGCACATGCACATGCACATGCACATGCGCATGTGTGTGTGTATGTGTGTGTGTGTGTGTGTGTGTGTGTGTGTGTGTGTGCCAGTGTGTGCGCGCGCAAAGGCACGCACGCGCGCACGCACGCACTTATGCACGCGCGCGCACGGTAACACTGGAAGGTATTGAGTGTACTGCAAGAAGACATGATGAATGGCAAGGCTGGATGCACAAGACAACAAGCTATATGATGGGCATGTGCCTCAAGTAGTCTTCAAAGTGGATGCACATGGCCTCAATCCTGGCAGCTGAGGGGAAGAGCAGTCATCTGCCAACAAGTCAGACTGAGTAGAGCAGAATAGAGTAGACCAGGTGCTGGGCACCCAGGATGCGTTAAGGACAGGCGCAAGGGTCAGGGCAGCCGCCGGTTCTTCCGCTGGCTTGGCGACGCGGGGGACCCGTGGCCGGGACGCCCCGTAAGGAAGAGCGACCTCCCATATCTGCAATCGCTGTCCAGCTGTTGGATGCTCAGCAGCAGTTTCGAGGGAAACACTCCGGATGTGGGCAAAAATCAGGCTAATGACTAGCAATACCCATTTTCCCCTCTTGTCTGCTTTCCGTCACAGCGGTGCTCTCCACTCCTACCCCTTTTTTCCCCACTAGCTAACACTGTGTCTCACCGATGACTTGCATAACCCTCCACGGCACCATGGCGGACTGTGAAAGGCCACTGGCGAGTGCACAAGAAAACTCGATTTTCTGCTTGCACCCTGCAGAAACACACAAGTACTTGATTTTCATACAGGTTGAAAGAGAGTTTATTTTGGGACTTGGCAAGCGGGTGAGGAGGGTTTCGGCACTCTCCCTAATTACTCATTTACTGTTTTGCCGCACACAGTAACACTGCTGGCCGACTCTAACCTCTGCCTACCTGAAATCGCTGTCGATGACTCACTCCCAGGTACACACGTCAAGCGCGGCTGGTGAATCAGCAAACCCGATTTTTGGGGTATGTACAGGCACAGCAGCCCGCGTCGCCAGTACAGCTTTAGGCCGGGTTGTTGCAGGGCATTACTATTTCAGCTGCCACAGTGGAGCCCTTTCACGAGAAGTTTGACACATTCCTGCTGCTAGACCGTCTTTGGCCCTGGGCGTTTGGGCTAGTGACAAGAGCTGGACTTGCCCTTCGATCAGTCGGCGCGCCGAGCCACCATGGCCAATGATAAAATGACCACTGTGTGTTTGGTAAATAAAACGCACAAAGTAAGAATGTTGCTCTCTGACCTGAATCTCCCCCCCTGGGGGACGTCTGCCCTTGAGCGAAGGCAGACGCGCGGACTTCTCATCTTGCAGTGAGATTACTACTGGGTGGCGGCTGCTGACAAGTGCGCGCACCCGCGGTACGGCGCACATATCGCCATTGAACATGATTCAATACTTCATAGGTGGCACGTACCATCATCAAGGGCCCGGCGCGCCAGCCAGGCTGCGGGCGAAATCCACCGCGAACCATGATGCCCGCCCCACCCACACCCGCCAAAAGTAGGTGCCGCGATCAAATAATCCCCCGAAACAGGCCAAGAAACAGTATATCTGCGACGGATCTTTTGTCTCACTTTAAGGCTGTTACGTTTATTACAGTAGGACGCCCCTTGGCGAGATCCCCACGTTTCGCGCGAAAACAACAACGGCAAACAGCATCACCAGCAGCAGGGAGCTGGCCCATACAGCCGGGGGTGAGGCGTCTATGGTTGCAAGCATACATGATCAAGAGCGGCGGTGGCCTGGGTGTATGCGTTTGCAGCTGCAGACCGCTGTGGGCCAACTGAAACTGAACTGCATGGTTGTGGGGCGATCAGGACCGGTGACGCATCCTCGCACGTGCGGGACACTGCGTGGGTTACTTTCCGCATCTTGTAGGCGGGGTTCTGGCGGCACCCCCTAGCGCCTTCCGGGCCCTGTGCCGCGTGCGTGCATTGATCTTGACCGATCGCGGCGGCTGGGCTGGGCGCATGCCTGTGCCTCTCCCTGCACCGCCTGCGATCCCTGCTGTTCCGCCCCGTCTGCTTTCCAGGCCTGCGGCCCAACAGTACCCGGCGATGGTGCGACCGCCACCGATGTCGGCGGCGCTCATCGCCTTGTCGGTGATCTGGCTGTTGTCGCCACCGGCCGCGCGGGCGGCGGACCTGGCGCCAATCGAGACGGCAACTATGCTGTCCGGCGCCAATTCCACGAGCGACTGGCCGGCGGCCACGGTGACGGAGAGTGCACAAGGGCGGCGGCTGCTGCAAGTCGTCCAGCCTGATGGCAGCATCACCTATACCATGCCCAGCAATGCCACTGTCTACACCAGCCCAGCTGGGTCCAGTCTCATCGACATCCTGGGCCCGTTGTTGGGAGTCCTTGGGCTGCAGGTCAACAAAGTAACAACGCAGCCTAAGCTGGGCACGGTGGTGGTCAGGTCAGATGGAAGCTTCACTTACACTGGACCTGCGGTGTCTTATGGTGGTGAGCATCCCCCGTGCAGCGAAAGCACCCGGGACGCCAGGAGCGCGCACGCGTTTGGCAGAGCGGCCCTGCTTGCCGCCACCGGGGTGCCTGTGCCTTGTTGCGTTGACACAACAATATGGGTGCCACAGCCACGGCGAACGGACGCATGATCCAACAATGGTGCTCTGCCCTTGAGACTTGATGCAGACTCAACAGCCAAATTCCAAAGATGCTTTGAAATGACCTCACTCACGCAGGTTTCACTGATCGGTTCTGTGTAGAAGTTGGCATTCTGGTGCTCACCGCAACACGGTGTGTCAATATTATCCGGGCCCCAAATTGCAGCCCGGCCTGTGTCCGTGGGACGTGCGCCGCCTACAACAGTTGCAACTGTACAGGGACAAACTACACCGGGACGACTTGCAACACACCAGGTGAGCCAAAGGGAGGTGTCTGCCTTTGCATCAGGCCGCAGCCGCCTTGCATCATGCATGACCATCGCACTTTCATCCTGTGGATGCACCGTCGACTTGCAAGAGCTGTGTTGTGCTTACCGAGGCGACCCACACAGAGCAAAACACTCACCTGCATACGCTGCGCCCCATTGCCCATGCTCTCGACTACACAACATGCCATCCCTCTTATCCCCCAGCTCCCATCTCTCCTTTTTAACAGCAGTTCCTTCTGATTTTGAGCAAACTCGAATGTTTGCCACCCTGACAGCCTCCACATCCAACCTCGATTCATGCTTACGCCATTGTTACTAGGCAGCCCATCATATAGATGTGCAGTAGCTCGTGACAGGGGCAGTGTGGCAATGACCGCGCCGCTCAGCATCCTTTCAGAATTGGTACACTGCTTTGCTTTTCTGTGGGCTTGTGCCGGGGCGTGGGCCCTGAGGTCCTCAGGGTGCCACGCCTCGGACAGATTTTCTAGCAGCTTCCACATAGTCCACTATTTGAAAGCAAATGCTCGCTTCCACACTCTTGTGTGGAAGCAGGGCCCCACGCACTGCTGGCATCGTGGCACGGCACACCGCACACGACTGCACATGCACAGCATTTAGAACCTTGGCTGTGGAATGGGCACCTGCTTGATGGACTCAGGATTGAGCCAGGGCTGTTCAGCATTTCTGTGATGCTTGAAGAAATGCGTCATCAGCTGTATTGTTGTTGTATACAGCATCATTGGCCGATGCCTAACGACAACCCGTACATCGTCCATCCCAACATTTGTCACAACAGTGTGCTCTCCTTCATGTGCAAATAACGGCATTTGCATGAGCCCCAACACCTGCAACTGCACTGGCGGCTGGACTGGGCCCACGTGCTCAACTGCAAGTGAGTTGGCAGGCATAGGGAGGGGTCAAAATACAGGGCCACGTGTTCTCAAGATGCTACAGCCAGGATCGAGCTTGCCAAAGTGCTGCATTGGACCCTGCGTACCAACCGCACCTGCCCTGCCGCGCCCCCTTTCCACCGTTCCCGCAGCCTCCGCGCTGTGCGCCTTGGCCCCGTGTGCCAACGGAGGCACGTGCGTAGGCCTCAACACGTGCAACTGCACTGGCACCGGCGGCTGGACCGGCCCCACATGCTCCACCCCCAGTGAGTTGTCTGGAGTGCCCCTGGGGGTTTGAGAAGCCGAGGGCCCCGGGATTCAAGACTGATGCGGCCAGGGTGGAGGATGCAATGGATCCACAGCAAATGCACTGCTGACAGATCCCTCATGTCTCCCTTCCCACCATCCCTGCAGCCTCCGCGTTGTGCTCCTCAGCCCCATGCGCCAATGGAGGGACATGCGTGGGAAGTAACGTGTGCAATTGTACAGCTGGATGGACCGGATCAACGTGTAGCACTCCAGGTGCGTGTGCCACGACAATACACAAGCCCTGCAACAACCAGGGTTTCTGATTAGACCACAACGGCTAGCTGGGGAACTCCTCCCACGACACGAGTTGCCCTCGCACGCGCTTGCCTGCACACCCTCTGCGCACAGTGTGCTCGTCGCCGTGTGTGAACGGAGGGACTTGTGTTGGCCCGAATCAATGCAGCTGCACAGTCTTCTACAGCGGGCCGACATGCGCGACGCCAGGTGAGGTCTTGACCACGACAGCCGGAGGGCAGCAGGGACCCAAACAGCGTGAGTATGCCTGCACCCATGTGTCCAGCAGGCTGAGTCAGCACGCATGCTTTGATGATTGAGCTGGTCGCCGATATCAAGTAAGCTGTGCACTCACTAAATACAATTCGCAGCCACGCTGCATGGCAAGCCTGCAAGCATGCACAAGCTGATTGCCATCCCTAACCGCTTCAACCCTGCAGGCGCCCTGCTGTGCGCCTTGGCCCCGTGCGCCAACGGAGGCACCTGCGTGGGCCTCAACACGTGCAACTGCACCGGCACCGGCGGCTGGACCGGCCCCACATGCTCGCAGCCAAGTGAGTCTGCGGGCGCGCGT